CTTTCCGCTCCCTCCAACCCTTTCTACCTTCCTTCCTCTCTTTTTCTTAATTTCTTTTCCTTTCTTTCCTTCCTTCCTTTTTCCTTTCTTTCCTTCCTTCCTTTTTCCTTTCTTTCCTTCCTTCTTCTTTTCTTTTTCTCTTTTCCCTCTTCTTCTTCAACTAATGATGATAGATTTCCTTTTGTGTGGTTATGAATCAAGAAAGGCTCCTAATGAAAATATTTTGTTTCTAAAAATCCTTTGGATTTTGCTGAACCAAAGTCAAAAGTATTCTCTTCACTGCCTTTATTTTGGCATGGAACACAAAGAGTTAAAACTATTAGAAAAGTAAACACAGAAAAACCATGTTCAATTCTCTGTATTTCCTTTGGCATCCTATTGAAGTGTGATGCCGGTGTACATTCACCGTGTATTTTTTCGTTTTACTGTGTGGCCTTTACCCATAGTAAGTTTCAATTAACTTTTAAGACCTAGAGGTATTTAAGAAAAGCTAGAATGAACTATGCTTCACAGTATGCCTTCCAAAACAGTGGCAACTGAGGCAGGTTTTGTATATTGATTGACTGGTTGGTTTTCAAAGATGTTACAGGTTACTTTATAATTGAGCGTTTGGAATTGATGATATTTTATTCATAACAGTAAAATTTCCAGAGTTGTTTTTGCATAAGAATGTGAAAGTTTAACAGTTTCTATGTTTTCTTCTTCTTTTAGTTAATTATCTTAAATATCCTTTAAAAGCCCCTTAATCCAAAGTGAAGAGAGTATTAAAAAATAATATGAGATATTTTATTTCTACTTATTAGAGTATGGCAGTAGAAAAGGCAAGCTAGTATATCACAAAAATAAATCTGTTCCAAATATATCCACTTTTGACAGCTTGTTTGTCAATTTCACCAGGTTTTTAAAGTTGAGATGAGGTTAATGTTGTTTACTATTTAACTCTTCCTCTTATGCAAGCATTCCTGTCCCCTTAAGGGATTTATTTGCCATTGGCAGGATTAATTTAAACATTGTTTTCTACTTGATATTGCATTTTTGTTTCTTAGGTTGCAAACCTCAACTTGATTCACTATCAACTGATTTACTTAAATAATACGTTTTATATGATTTTTCTCCCCCTCCCACCCATCTATTAGCAGGCATCCCATCTTCACTTCTGATAAACACATTGATTTATTTAAACCAGTGTTGTCTTTGTCCCTCTCACAACAGACAACCTTCCTCACAGTGAGCAGACTCATGATTTACTATGGAGGATGAAAATAAGCCTTCTTCTTGGTGTTCCATTGTCTGGGCCCTAAACCAGCTGTCTATTAAAATGGTTTCACTTAAAACAGCCAATGCTGTTTATATGCTTCTGTGATCTCCCAGCTGATCCAACCCCAACCAGCTTTACTCATACACCACAGAGGCACATATTTAAATTAGGAAGAAATGCAGAAACTTCTCCCAAAGTTGGTGTTAGCAGGATCCCTGTCCTTTGGGGCTTAAAGTCTGGGTTTACCGAACTGTGGACCAGCGTTGATGTATATGCTAAATGTAGATGGTAAAACTGATGCAGGGCTATCAGTTGGGTGTGCAAGCTGCAGGGAGAACTTCATGGCATTTTGAAAATTCTTATTGTTGCCACTTTGCATCAGAGATATTCATCAAAATGAATTTATTATATATTCCTATACTGGATCCAATCAGGATGTGGATTTCTGTGCCCATACCTTCTGTATGATATGTGTACATGTGTGTATGTGTGTTTAACAATACTTTTCAGTAACAAAAACTGCTTTGATGAGGTTAGAGGTGGATCTTTCTTTGACTGAATTCCGCTCTAGAGCTAACCTCATTACACTGAGTTTCTAGTTTACTTTAGTTACAGGATTTTAGTCCTACTCCATGGTGGAGTTGCACTTGCTTTTATTTCAGAAGTCACAGAAGCAGCACTGCTTTCTCTGCCTTTATGTGCTGAAAAATATTGTTCTATAGAGGCCCCAAGGAGAAGGAGAGAAGAAACTTCACGCTTTCGCTCCTCCCTAGAGTTCCTAACTATTTCTGAGCAAATCCAGACTGATGGTTTCATTTTTCTATGCTTGATTTGGAGAAAGATTCTGTTTTGACTGTGCTGCTGGAAGCGTAGTGGCAGCGTGGTATTTGGTGAAGAGATGTATCATGGAGGCACAGGGCCTTAAACAAATGATATTCAGTGACCAAAGAAGTGACACAGGATTTCTGGTAGTCTGTGTCATCTGCTGTTTGGGGAAGCCATGAGTGTATTAGCATTGCATCCATTGCATATCATCATGGGCCCACTAATTTCAATGGACCAGCAGTCTTAGTAAAACTAATATTTGTATCATCTAGAAAGAATTGAAATGAGAAGATCTGATGTAACTGATAATTCCCCCTGCCTCCAAAAACCAAGCTTTTGTTTATATGTATATATGTATATATATGTGTATATATAGAGAGTATACAAAATATATATATAGTATACATATATATAGAGTAGGGAAAGCCCCGTCAGTATCTGTGAATTTATTTACCAGGTTACTTCTTTTAGCTTAGCATGACAAATATATTATTTTTTAAAGAGTGGTGGAACCAAAACATGACAAATATTAAAGCTGAAACAGAGATTATCACAAGTATTTAGAGAACACACAAACCATGTAGTGCTAATAGGATTTAGAAGAAATGCTTCATTAGAGTTTTTTTAGCATCATGTATGAGATCTAATGAGTAATTTACTGTGTTTTTTAAAAATGTTTTCAGCAGTGATTGCAGGAAATAAAAGAGGCAGATATAATTTTTGGTTTTCAAAACATTTTTAGTTAATGCATTTTCTTGAGTAATGCAAATGCTTAGGATTTTGAAAAGGTCTTTTAAGAATACAGGAAAGAATCATCAATGCATGCTGAAACTAGCGGATGAAAATTTGACACATAATAAGATATTAACACAATCTAGATTACCTCCGCAGAAAATAGTTATGAATCGCGTAGGGTAAAGTAATAACTTTACCCTGGGGAAACCTGGCTGATGATCTCTGGTAGATAGCAAGCACCACCTTAACCAAATGGTCAGAATTTATGTTGCCAATAGTGGAACTAGTCAACAACATGATTTGATACACTGAGAAGAACTCAAGATCACCTCTGTGGTATCCTTGCCCTGAAGTACATAACTTTAATCCAAGCCTGAGGAAACGCAGGCAAACCCAAATTGAGGGATGTTCTACAAAATAACTGGTTTGTATTCTTCAAAAATATCAATGTCATGAAATATAAAGACTCAGAAATGTTCCATATTAAAGGAGACGTGACAACCAAATGCAGCATTGGATTTTCTTTTGCTGTAAAGGACATTATTGGGTAACTGATGAATATCAGTAGGGTCTGTAGATTCGATTATTATATCAATGTTAATTTTCTGATTTAGATAACTGTACTGTGGTTGTGTAAGAGAATTCCTTGTTTTCAGGACATACAGGCTGAAGTATTTAGGGCGTGTGTGCAATTTACTTAATAAATGATTCAGAAAAAAATACAGAGAAAAGAATAAAGCAAATGTAATAAAATATAAACATTTTGGTAATCTGGTAAAATCTGGATGAAGAGTATCTTGAAATTCTTTACATATTCTTGAAAGTTTTTTGTAAGACTACAAGTATGTCAAAGTAAAACCATTTTTAAAATACAAGGTATAATAGGTTAGCCGTAAAAAGTGGTTTTGATGGGCCAGTGGCGGAGAAGTATTTTCTCCTCATGTAAGTACCTTTTCTCATTTTTTATTTTATTGCAATGTTTATTTTGTAAGGGGATCAGATACCATAACCACAGTACTCTCTGAGGATCTATACACACTGGGTCTTAAGTTATACTCATGATTTACAGGTTCTGAAAGTCCCAGGTTCAAAAACAAAGCACATTACAGCCAACTACAAGTTAGTCTTGTAGCATCTCTATGTACTATATAAAGATAGTCTCTGGCTAATTTAAGTAGTTTTGTCATCAAGAAATTGAGGGTTATAGGAATGTGTGAAAGTAATTTTATTAACAATTTGAAACCGTGTGATATTAGTATTATGCAGCGATGCAGTGTTAAATTAGCTAAATGTAGCCCAGTGCAGAGCCCTGCTCTGCTAATAGCTGAGTGTATTGCTTTGGACTAGATATTAACATGTAGATCCATGAAAGCTGAGGTCCCAGGGAACCTTCTTGGTGTCCTTGAGTAAAATGTTTGCTTTGCAAACACATTACAAAAAAACAGAAAAAACTATCTGGGCTGGTGAAGTGTTTTGGGACTCCAGATTTTGAGAATCAGATGTAACTCTTCTTAGTTTATGGAGATAACTCTGTGACTTAAACCTCCACACACAGCATCTGACAGTGAGTATTCCTGTTTGGGTGGGTGTACACCCTGTGAGAGCACATGTTCTCAGCCTGTTGACGGGAAGAGGGATTTTTCCTGATTGATGAATCATTGCAAACATGACACAGTTAGTGAATGGACTCCTTAGTTCACCTACACTTGTTTTCTACTGCTCACCCCTAGAAGACTAAGTGTTGAGCCTGGAAGTAGTAAAGTGAGGAGGCAAATACATATCATTTAAAAATAAAATCCAAATGCTTTTCTATATTTTCGGTAAATAGTATCTTAGTCTGCTAAGCCTTCTGGGTTTTCCCTCCTTATGGATGAGATTTATTTGTATTCTGTATTAAAAGGAGAATTGTGGCTATCTTGCCCATCTCACACTCTGAACCAAAGATGTGCATCATGGCAAGGTGGTTGATGGGGCAGAGAGGAACATACCTTGTTCCATGCCTTTCGGGTTAATCCCAAATGACATACCTTCAAACAATCAGCTCAGTGATGTCTTTGGCTCTTCAAAGCTAATTTGACCTTCAGTAGTGGTGAAGTGGTTAAGAACTCAATTGTGATCTTTTTTTTTTTTTTTTCCTGCTACTTGTTTCCATTCTTAGCTAAAATTGTGCTTTTGCTTTTAGGCCATAGTGTATGAAGGCCAAGACAAGAACCCAGAAATGTGCCGAGTTTTGCTCACACATGAGATCATGTGCAGGTAAGAAATATCTTGGTCTCTCCCATTAATTAGCAAAGAGAAGATGGATTTGCATTTCAAATCTTGGTGAACTTTGGTCTTTTTTTGTTGGGGGGAGGTACACATTTATCTTGCTTCTATAGACAATCTAAAAAGAACTGTTAGATGTGAGTATTCGGTAGTAAAGTGTCAGGCATCACAGTAGTTCTCAATTATTTATTAGATTTCATCCTGAAAGACGTACATTTCCATTTTGATATCACACTGTTAATGGGCACAAAGCACTGCTGTCCCCTTCTCCCTTAAAATCAAATAAAACAATATAACCCTTTTAGTGTTAATATATGCGCTCAACTGCGTTGCTACTAAAATGAGTAAGAGTTCTATTGATGTCAGCAGAGTCTTCTGTTTGGGTAAGACTTGAAAGTTATAGTTCCCCTTTCTAATTCTCCCACTTGAAAATATGACTGTCCATACTTAGGCATCATTTCTTCTTAAATTGAATGTGGGTTTTTGTTTTTTCTTTTCCCTTGCATCTGACCTCTTAGTTACCCTATATATAACTCTGACAATGTAGCTAATACTTCTCAGAGGTAGTGAGCTTTCAGAGGGATGGCAAAGATGAGTCCCTAAACGGTATAAAATGACCCATAGATGAGTGTCTTTATTTTTGCCTGTAATCAGACTGAAGCTACATTTGAAAACAGGCAAGTAGACCAAATTAACTTCCATGGCCTCAGCCAGGCTTTCCACATGTGAGGGAGCAGGCCAGGGAACAGCCCTTTAACTTGCGTTCTTATTCTGCATAAAATGACACCAGCACTTTGCTCCTAATATATTCTGAATAATTGGATAAAGCATGAAGATGCCACTGTGCATCAGAGAACGGCTACTAATTGCTTTGTTAACCATGCAGGCTCTTCCTGGCACAATGTTGGCCTGGCTGCTGACTATTACTGACCAATCCGTTTAGGGCTTCAGCTGCTGCCTCAGCATGGGTGGGCTTTATTTGCTGCTCATGGACTTGTGGGGGAAAGCAACCTTAATACTCTACAGGTGGAAAGAAAAAAGCATTTAATGTGCTTTCTGAGTGAAATCCCAAATACCAACTTCTTCTATGTCTACAATTGTGTATGGCTATACAATTTTCATTTTTTCCCTTTTAAAAATATTTCTAACATTTTATTCTAAAATATATAGGAGTTTCACGTTTTCATTTCAGCGATTTGTAAAACTTGTTAATTATTATGAAAACAGGTTATTTGTCTCTAATTTTAAAACAGTAGCAGAATCCCCAAGATATGGCAATAGATTTCTTTATATTACTAGGCAAAAATTAATGTTATATTGTACATAGCAATTCTACAATAAAGCTGAGTTGCACCTTTCAGAATTGTGAGTAAAATTCATTTTGGAAAACATTAAAACATGACCTCTTTCTTCTTACTATCTTTTTGACCATATCTCTGTTTTGGCTTCTTACAATTAGCATGTCATTAGAATGAATTTTCCATGTTGTACTACATGTGATTCTAGCAAAATAGGAAACAGACAGGAAGATGGATCTCAACCAATGGGCCAAATAACATCTATATATCATAGATTTGCATCTCATATCTGCACATGTTTAGACTATGCTAGAAATCATTCTATTCTTGAAACACTTAAAGATATATTATGCCTTTCACACATAGGCCTACCCTCTATTAATGCAGTTTATATTTTTCTTGTTTTTAAAATTCATTGGTCCAAAGTACTTTATTATGCTGGTTGGTGTGCTTTACTGCTGATGTTCTTTCTATTTCTCAGAAACATAAAAATAGCAAAAATAAAATCCTCAAGCCACTGAAGGCAAATGATGATGTTTGTACCGCGTGGCTAAGAGGGAAAAGTCGTATTCAAAATGTCATCCTGCTAATGTTACATATTACGGGTTTTCCTGGCTGCCTATAGATGTATAAGGGGTACTGTTTGTTTACCAGGCCGCCATGACCCTATTACACAAACCTGTCATCTATTGTGTGGCTAACAGTCTTTTAAATTGCAAATCTGATGCTCTTTAGGGGGCTTTAGGAAAAAAATTCTCACTTTCCACACTATCCTATTTCTCTTGATTTCTTGCCTGTTGTAAGTGGAAGTTGGGATGTGCTGAATTTGCACCAGGGGTGCAAATGCAGGCTCAATTATAAGCATAAAATTAGAGTCTGTTCCCCATTAATCAGGCTGGCTAATTGCTATGCACCACCATTAGCCATATGGTGTGAAAGGCAGCTTGCTCTCCCCAAGATGAAATTTCTTCATTGCAGACATGAAATAGTGAGGGCCCTGGATTTTAAAATAGCTTGTTTTAGATATTTAATTTCTAAACAACTTTCTGCAGTGCTTTCTATCAAAGCTAACGGCACAATAAAACTTTGCGTTGATGTCGTGAAAGCTGTATATTTATAGTATGTTGGCTATGGTGAAGGAGACACAGAGAATTTAGATTGACAAGACAAGGCTTGGTATGATTCTGTTTTGTTGCAGGCAAAGGGAAAAAAAAAAGAAAAAAATGAGAAACACCAGAGAATTGTGTCTCAGGTGGTTGCAAATTTTAAAAATCCATTGTGTTCTGTCTAAAAGGTGACCCCACTGCCTGGGCTGGCTAAGGGACTTGCCACCATTGGATTATATTATAATTGTTATTACCACTCAGAGACAAAACCTCTTTGACTTGACATGGACCCCTTTCTGTGAAATTCTGAGAGAGTCTCTGCCTTTTTGGTAAACTGAAATCTATCATATCAATCATCATTACATTTTGCTATACCTGGTGGCTACGCTCTTAAAATAATACGGCCCAACACGTGATTTTCTAAAGCACGATTCTAAAAGGGATTTGATTAAAGGGCATCCTGACATCCTGTGTTTAAATGTGGATGGAAAATAGGAACTATGCTTGGTCAGTGAACCTAGTTCCCAGAGCTCTGTTTGAGGAAGACCTCTTTCCCTCATCAGTGTATGGTTTCTTACCGGACCATGAGCTCTCAGGGCTCCCTTGAGTTTCCTTTTCTTCCTTTCTCTTTTACTGACTTATTCTGATTCCATCCTTCAGATTCCCACTTAAGCATGGCTTCTTCAGGGAAGCATCCCTGGCTCTCAGCCTGAGTCAAGTCCCATTGTTATGTTGTCCTGTAAACAGTGGTCCCCTTTTATCCATGAAGGATGTGTTACGTGACCCACAGTGGATACCTGAAACTGCAGATAGTACCGAACCTTACATACGCTATATTTTTCCTATACATGCATGCCTATGATCATGTTTAATTTATAAATTAGACATAATATGAGATGAACAATAATGAGTAATAAAATAGAACAATTATAACAACAAACTGTATGAAAAGCTATGTGGATGTCGTCTCTCTCTCCAAATATCGTACAGAATCCCAGCCCTTTGGCAGGCCAAGATGGGAGGATTATTTGAGCCCAGGAGTTCAAGACTGGCCTGGGCAACATAGTGAGACCCCCCATCTCTATAAAAACTAAAAGAAAAATTAGCCAGTTGTGGTGTGCGCCTGTATTCCCACCTACTCAGGGGGCTGAGGTGGGAGGATAATCCAGGCTGCAGTGAGCCATGATTGCACCACTGCACTCCAGCTTGGGTGACAGAACAAGACCCCATCTCAACACAAACAAAAAAAAATGTTGTATAGGACCACAGGTAACTGAAACCGTGGAAAGCAAAACCATAGATGAGGGGGACTACTATCTGCTTTGCTTTTCTTTCATAGCACTCAGCACACTTGTAACTTTTTGCCCACAATCTGTCTTCCTTTACCAGACTGATTGCTTTTTGAAGGCAAGGAAGTTACTGGGTGTTCCTCTGTCTTCAGTTGTCCTATTTGTGAAATGGGGGATAATATTATTTATCTCATAGGATGGTGATTAAGATTAAATGCAATAATCCCCATAAATGCTTATCACAGTGCCTTGACACACAGTAAGTACTGAATATCTATTGGTATTATTAATAGTAGGAGTATTTGTGTGAATAGCAGCAACAGCAGCAGCAATATTTGCAGTGTGGGTCTAAGTACCCAGTGCGCAGTTGTTCAGTGTGAATGCAGATAAAAGAACTTTGAATCAAAGTGAAATGTCTACTGAAACATTCATGTACTTTGTTCATTCTAGTTGTGGTGGTTAAGGATGTTTTCATTTATTCTTTTAGTACCTACTATGTGCAAAACACTCAAAAACGGAGAGCCAGAAAAGACTTGGTTCTGCAGTAGGGGAGCTTATGGTGTGGCCTGGGAGATGATATCAGTTGGCAGATAACGAGACTGCACTCTAGAAAGGGTTGAATGTGATGAGAGCTTGAGGCAAAGGGCTATGTCTATTCAGAGAAGGGAGGAAGTACTTGTAGGTGGGTAGCAGGAATAGGGAGAGGGATTTTAGAGGGTGCATGAAGTGTTTGGGCTTGTCTGTTGCAATCCAGCCAAAATTTCTCTGTGGAGAGTCCTGCAGGTGGATGGTCCTGAGTTCTGGATCTGGAAATAAAGTTATGGTCAAAGATAACTGACTTCAGAGGTCATTTCCCAAGGGTGAGAGTTGAAGCTGCAGGCTTAGATGGGATTGACAAAGGAGGGAGAATAGAAAGAGAAGTTATGGTTATATTCTTGGGGGAATAATCACGCTTGGCAAGAAGGCAGGGTGTGTTAGAGAGTTCAGAAAAAGAAGCTTGAGCATAGAGAACATAGAAATAAAAGGAGGAGGCCAGGCACAGTGGCTCATGTCTGCAATCCCAGCATTTTGGGAGGCCGAGGTGGGCAGATCACTTGAGGCCACGAGTTCAAGACCAGTCTGGCCAACATGGTGAAACCCCATCTCTACCAAAAAATACAAAAATCAGCTGGGTGTTGTGGTGTGCGAACCTGTGGTCCAGGGAGGTTGAGGCATGAGAATCACTTGAACCCAGGAGGTGGAGGTTGCAGTGAGCAGAAATTGAGCCACTGCACTCCATCCTGGGTGACACAGTGAGA